CTTCATCACTAAGTTACCTAAGTCCTAAGAACTAATAACTAAGGTCCACTATAATAGCGTCCTAGTTATTATTAATAGACTTATAAAGTACTTATACTTCATCCTATATATAGAGTCTAGCACTATAGAAGACCTTACCTATAAGTTTCTATAAGTAATTATTAGCTAATATGGAACGCTAAAGGAAATTATATCTAATAGAGATAAGTTATTTACTTCTAAGTTTTAGAGATTACTAATCTTATAGCTTAGATCTAACTATAAGATATCTACTACTTTTTATCCACAAACTAATAGCTAGATAGAATAAATCAATTAGATTATAGAGACCTATTTATACTACTATATTAACTACTAATAAGACAATTAGGTTTAACTGCTACCTATAGCCTAGTTTGCCTATAATAGTGCAGTAGGAGAAAGTACAAAAGAATCACTATTCTATCTGAACTATAGATTTAACCTAATAGCCTATAGAGAACCACAATAAGGCCTAGTAGCTCTAAAAGCTATAGTAGATATTAATAAACTTAAGGAAATCTAGTAAGAGCTACCTAGAGAACTCAAATTTATATATAAATAAATATATAAATACGCTAACACCTTAAGAGTTAAGGGACTAACTCTATAGGAGGGAGATAATATATACCTTCTCTACTAAAATATTAAGATAAAATAACTAAGTAATAAGTTAGACTTTAAGAAACTTAGACCTTTTGAGATTATAAAGAAGGTATCTAATATCAACTTTAAACTTATACTACTAGACACTATAAAGTATTATCTAGTCTTTTATATTTCACTTCTCAAAAAAGCACCAGCAGGTTCACATATAGAAGACTACATTATTATAGAACTACTAGAACTAGAATATAAAGTTAAATAAATTATTAACCACTATAAAAACAATAGAAATACAGAATACCTTATTAAATAGAAGGGGTATAGATATAAAGATAACTCATAGGAACCCATCAAGAACCTCCAGCACTCCCAGCAGCTACTACAGGAGTATTACTAAGCAAGGGACCTAAGTCCACAAACTCCTCCCCAATCCCAAACTCAGTCCAGGAAGGGTCGTTCTCAATACCTCTAGCCTAAAGATCCTCTATAATATATCGCTTATAAGCATCTAATATAGGAAGAACGTTATTAGCCTCCTTAAGTTCCTATATCCCCTAAGTAAACGTCTCTATATAACGCTCCTTAATTAACTTCTAAGTTATATAAATATAAGCTAAATAACTAGCTATATTAGCTACCTCTAATTATACCTAAGTAAGCTTCTTATAAAGCGCTAATAGAGTATTATTAGCCTGCTCCTCCTTTTCCTCTTACTCTTAATGCTAGTTACTAAGACGCTTTACTATAATAAGTTAGAAGTAGCCTATAAAGAAAGATATAATAGGACTTATAGCTTAATGTAATAATTAGTCTATTATAAGGACGCTTTAAATTCTTATACCTATAATAGACCTTTAAACCCTCTGCTATATAATAAGGACGCTTTGCCTAGAAATAGTAAGTATAGGGCATAACGTTAGAAGAACTAAAGCGCTTAAATACGTTATTATAAGTAGAATAAAGAACGGATTTTAAATCTTTTAATTTTTAAATATAACCTAATATAGTATTAGTATTATAGAGATTAAGAAGTATAATTAATGCCTCCCCAACCTAAGAGATACTACCTACTTATATTAGTCTAAGGGACTAAACCTTTAAAGAGGGGACCTAATATTATAACCTATTAGGTATAACTAATAAAGGACGCCCCACTAGGATATTAAGCGGTTATAATAATATATTTATATATAGGATTATAGGAATATATAAAGATCCCTTAGGAATAGAAGAACTATAGTATAGGTTATATAACGATAAGATAAAAGATTAGATCTATATAATCAAGATATAGCATCTATATTCCAGAAAGATGGAAGCTATATACCAAGGATACGGGAGCCGTACAGGGCATGTACAGCACCCAGCAATAGGACTACCTAGGACCTATATATAGGATAGACTTAAGCCCGCTTGAGGACAAACTTCTATAGCTCTTTAGTAATTAACCTTATAATTCTCACCTAAGACTTTTAGCTATACCTAAGTAACGATTACTCTATGACTCTTATTGAGGACTTAACTAATCACTAAGCCCTTTAAAGACCTATAATTACTTAACTAGACCTATAGAATAATAAATAACTATTACTATTATTATTACCTAACTTACTATTAATATAAACCCCACTATTAGTTAGCTGGCTATAACAATAAGGTGGGAGTATTAATATATTAGTAAATTATAATGATTTTTTTATATTTTAATATAATTAGTATAAAATTAAAAAAAAAAGGCTAAAACGTTATTTATTTTACTAATATCTTAATACCTCTCTATTTAGCTAAAAAAGCTAACTTTTACTCTCTATACTATATATACTAGAATATTATAATATTTAACTTCTATATTAAGTTTAATAGAATACTAAAATCTCTACCTCTTATATACTACTACCTATATTAATCTAACTATACCTATATTATAGTATCTTATTAAAGTCCCTTCTTATTCTTATATAGTAATATAGTATTAGTCTTTTATTACTTAGCCTTAATAATCTTAAATATTCTCTTCTATTAATAGTAAGAACCTCTTCTTTATATATCTTTAACCTCTATAAAGTTATATAACGCTACTATTATATATATAAATTATACTTACTCTTTATAAGAGTATTCTTTTAATATTCTTATTAAAATCTTCTACCTACTCTTTAATATATAAAATATATTCTCTACCTTCCCTCTTTACTATATATAGTATTTATTAAATATCTCTTTTACTAAGAGGTCTTTATTAAGGCTCTACTCTCTAATTTCTAGTAAAACTTAATATTACTAAGATAAAACTAGCTATAACTATAATATAATAAAAAATTAACTTTATACCTACTAAAAAGAGTTATATTATTTATTATTTCTTTAGTACTAGTAAGTATATATAAAAAGATACTATTAAATTTTACTACTCTAAATACGTTCTATTAGGTTATTATAAGGGGCTGGCCGAGTGTTTGTTTAACAGTATAGGTGCCGTCGAATAACTATTCTAAGCTGAAGAAGAGAGGGGGTATTTCACAGGGGGCGGCCGCGCAGCTGTAGAGATGCGTGGCCGGCGCGGTGTAGCGCGGCAGAATAGTGGGGCTAGCTCCGGCAAAGCCGGAGATCTTCTCCAGGCTCCAGCCCGTGACACAACTTAATATTTAAGGTATTTATTTACTGCTAACTCATCAATAGGCCTGGCATTTGGCATGAAATTCCGAGCCGATCACCCCCTAAGTGCTTGAACTGGTTGATCTTTTGGTTTTTTAGCCGAACGGTCCATTGCGCGCAGGTAGCACGCCACCTACCCGCTCACATTAACGTTATATCTATTCACTAATATGATCTTCTCTTTTAGACCTGCCCTAAATAAATCCTCTGCTTATAATGCTACTTCAATTTGTGTCTCTCGCTAGTATATAGGGATACTTATTAATTAATTGGAGCCTACTGTTTAGATTTGTAACGCTGCGCTCCCTAGCTCCGCCTGTTCTTGAATGCAACGGAGTGAGAAAACCACAGGAGGATGGACGATCCAGCCGCGCGTGTAACCTGGACCGAACTTATACCGATAGAGAGTTTGTGGCGTGTGGATGAGCACACATATGTCGCGCCGTACGATTGTCTGCGGAGAATTCCGATCACGCTGTTCCCATGTCGGCGGCATTAATAGGCCTCCGTCCAACTACGTACCTCGTTAAGCCCTCTAATGTGTCTTTGTCCGTCCACAGCGGTCTCCTGGAACCATAACACGCCTCTAATAGGTCATATTAGAGGGGGAGCCTGCCCCCTAAATGCTATAGAAACTAACTACGCTTTAGGTCGGCTTACGCTTTGGACTAGGCGGTCTTGGGAAGGATAACTTAGCAAGTTAGCCGAGTAGCGTCAAGCCTTCTAGCTGTGGCGTTACGTTATGAATCCGCTGTTGATGCTACTAATCTGGCTCTTGATCACTGTCTCTGCCAATCGCGTCGATACGCACCGGCATCGCCGGGGGTACGGCATGCTTGGACGAGACCATGACACGAGCTTCGTGGGCATCCGTCGGGGCCTAACTGGAACTGTCACGGGTGCGGCGGCTGGATATTAATTTATTAATTAAGTCTTGAAAATAACCCAACACAAGTTCTCCTGCTGAAGTAATGCTCTCTGATCCCACAAGGGAGTGAGGAAGAACGTGTAGCGATGATGGTGCGCAATGTGGAACAAGACCTCGGGCGGACTCTGTGCCGATGGACCCTGAGCTCATGTACGTCTCGACAGTCAACATCTTCGATCTCAGCATGATGAAAACTGTTCCTGTCACCTACAAGAGCCATGGGGGAATGGCGTTCGTGCGCTCCTACTGCAATTCCAACCTCAGGCCTTCACTCACGGCGATGGACAAAGCAATGCTCCCGATGTCTTTGATTGATTTCATCGTTGGCTGATGGCTGTGTTGAATGCGTCTCTACGACTCTTGAACAGTTAACATCGCCGTCAACTGCGGGTTGGAGCGCCTCAGAGACCCTGTTCTCAAACTGTAGTGCCCAGTCGATCTCGGGTGAAGCCCTCCGAGACGTCTTCCTCTTCCATTGCCGCCCACGCCGTTGGCAATGACTACAACCAGATCTGCCAGCGACTGCGCGGCAATAAGCTACCCTCCGGTGGGTGCTGACAGGCCATTCCCATTCCCCAACATCAGCTGTGCAGAACTCTCCGCCTTGAATTCCAAGACTCGCACCACCTCGACCAAGCCCCCCACACCTCTTATGCCACTTCAACCACGGTCTTGACGTCGCCGAAGACCCATGCCGCCCGGCTGGTCACGTATTCGCGTCGGCGGACGCTATTCGGCCGTCAACGGTTGGCGAACAGCGCTACCATCAGCCCCCGGTGTCCATCAAACGTCTCTAGTTCGGCTTGTTCTTGGAAGACGACCGAGACCTGGAATCACCGGCGGATTGGGCCTCACGGCTGCTCTCCGTCTGTGGCTTGCGCTTGCCAGAAGACTTCTTCGTCTTACTCTTATGGGTCTCATGCTTCTTCCATCCTTTTGGCTTCCCCGCGCGCACGAGCTGCGGCAGAGCGTTGATCTTTGCAGCCATTTGACGAGGATTGTGTGCGGTGTCGACTGTAGAGCGAAGCTGCACGAGGATGTCGGCAAAGGCGATTCGAATTGGGGCGCCAGTGCTGCGGGCAACTCTAGTCAGCTCTCTCCAGCGTGGGGCACATGGGGCCGAGTGGTACACCAACTTACCTATCTCGTTCGACGGGGTTCGGGCCTTGGCCAAAGTCGGAGGGTTGGAGGGTGAGGATGCCATTCTGTTCCGTCAAAGGGGTCCAGTCCAGCGCCTGGACGACAGTGCTTCCCTGCATCGCCTAGAGGCCGATAAAGCACTCGTCAAGGTGGTTGAGGATATCTGTGTACTTGTCGGGAGTGCTTCGGGGGTAGAAGATCTTGACGGCAATGGCGGCGCGCATAAGACCGCGGCTTCCGTAGATGTACTCCTCGCACTTCCTGGCGACGTCTTTTTGTGGTTGAGAGTAGGCGACCTCGAGAACAAGGCGCCCGTGGGCATCGTCGTTGTGGATTGACCAGCCTCCATCGGGCCTGAGCTGACCGATCGCGCCCGCTCCACCAGATGGCGCCTCTTCGCTAACCGTGATGACAGTGCCAGGCTTGTTCACAATGTACGGGACGTTGTTGTTGGATTTGACTGCGTCGCGGAGCAGCCTATCAAAGCGGACGCCGAAATCAGAATGGATAGGGGACTCAGAGGTCTTCAGGACCATCTCGCCTCGGTCGGGAGAGTACTCAATGTAGAGGGTGTCAGATTCAATGCCGGCCGAGAACAGGGCATTGTGAGCGAGATCGAGGGCTTGTGGATGGTGAAGGGAGAAAATGCATTGTTTGTGTGTCCAGCAGAAAGGATTGTTGACCATATGCTCTGCAGCCCGAATGATCTGACCAAGGTTGAGTTGAAGCTTGTGCAGATTGCCAAAGGATTGAGCCTTGCTTTTGCTGGAGTGGTGGTTGTGTTTGTGGGTGCGTGCAGGTCCATCGTTGGTGTTTCTGTTGGTGCCGCTGAAGTCAGAAGACATAGAGGGACAGCCAAGCGCGAGATTGGCATGGCGCAAGAGGTCGGGCGTGAGGCTGAGACCCATTGTGAAGTCCAGAGGGCATTTGTAGTTGTGATCAAGCTGGGCACTGTGAATGTGGTCACGTTCTGCGCGCTTGAAAAGCTCGGATCGATGCTGCTGGAGGTGCAAACAGAGACATCAGCCATCATGGAGTGAGAGGACAGAAGGTAGTGGGAAAGGAAGGACCCACTGGAATAGCCATCTTTAAGATCTTTGTTGATGACTTGTGATCTTTGTTGACATTGATGGAAGAGACTAGAATTGACTGGTAGTAACCGAGATGTTTGAGAGAGATGTTTGTTCAAGGGAAAGCGCGAGAAACTGCACGTACCTCAGTAGCCTGGATGCTGAGTAAGCCAGGCAAAAGTTGGAACGGGTACCTTACCCAGGCTCACTCACTATCTTAGGTAGGTAATCTACCCCCGCCAAACCCAACTTCGCCCCACTGTGCCACAGATCGCCCGAACGGCGAGGCCCCGCAGATCTCCCAAGCCCACTAAATACCTAAACAACACTGAAATGTGACGTGGGAGTGACTGCTGAAAAGGCGGCAACTGCCACGTGGGATGGAGGGATTAGCTCCATTGCTTCCTCCTGGAGCAGCAACCAAACTCTCCGTTTTCGCCCACCTCTCCAGCGTTATGGTTCATCTCCTCCAACGACAGACGTGAAAGTCAGTAGACATGGATAGCAACTCCTCGCAAGTTTAGAATTCCGAGAACCATGTAGTCACGCCTATCTGTTATGACACGATTGGCGCCTTCACATGAAGGTCATCCAGTGACAAAAGGCAACACTGCCACATCAAGTCCGTCGCAGAGCAGTGACATCTACGGTACATCATATCCCCAGATATCGTGCAACTGGTGATTTTCTCAGTGACAATTGCTTCTCAGGCAGTGACCAACCCAACACCAAATCTGAATGGTACCCAGATGTTTTCCGTGCGGGTGTGGGGATCATTGACGCCCGACGACATGTGAGTGAGTCATGCCTACAAGCCGTCAAATGGCTTGAGAAGTGTCATTGGCAGCTGTTCTGAGTTGAGGGAAGTTCTCGCATCGACATCTGGAGGGTCTGAGGTACGTAAGCAAAGCGCACTTGTGCGCCATGCAACCAGTATTCTAATTCCGTACTAACCGCGAGCTCTAACGCCCCTGAGCTGTCGCTTGAAGAGAAAGCGCTGCGTGATTACTACAGGGCGTGGTTTCTGGCTGATATGGTTTTGTTTGCTGTCCCTGTTTCTTTAATTACTGGCTTGCTACATCTGGCAAGGACGGCTTCCGTTGTTCTGGTTTGATTTTTAAGGAATTTACATTGCGAGCCGTCCTCCGACTCCCGAGACTAGCCAGGGACTGGAATGTTCTTAAAATCCTTGCTTTTGTTTCCTTGTTTCGCATGTAGTCAAGAGCGAGATGAAGTCGGCTGAAACTAGTATAATGGCAGTCATCATCACAAAAGAGCTGTGCTTTTAGTGAGAAGTATCCGAGGCAAACCTTGTACATCTGTCCCTATATCAGACAACTGTGTGGATGCAACCCTAATGACGTCAATGGATCCTTTAAAAATATGAATCGAGGCGCCAGACGACACATGGCTTGCGGTTGAGACTCTTCCAAGTCCTTAAAAGGCCAACAACGCAGATTTACATCTTAGAATCTGCCTGTACAAGTCGAGTTCTCTACAGTCGTCAATTTGGGCGAGCGAGGACATTCTTGAACAAGACATGAGAGTTTCAAAGACGCTCTAAGTGTAGACAATGAACCTGTTGTCCTAGAAATTGTCGATTCAGTCTGATCAGCTCTCTTGTTCGTATCCAATGGTCCATTGAGAAGCCTTGACTCTGATGCTTGGGTCGCCGACTTGGTTTTGTCTCGCCCTGAGTATGGCCGCCAGCTCCGTTCTTGGGGGAAGGGGGTGGGTGATTACGGGAGTCGATTGTTGTCAAGGCCGCAAACTTAGCAGCCAGGGTCGCGACTGAGGGTTGAAGTCATTGGGCATGTCATGGAGGGATTGAGGGAAGCTGCGGACCCAAGCGATGTTGAAGCGGTAGAAGTACCCCCGGAAGTCCAAGCTACAAGCTTACTCATTCAGCTCAGGTTGCCAGTCTAATATTCAGTCGTGGCCATTTCTCTCCGTCTGCAGGCTAAATACGTGGAGACCCAATACGTGGAGACCCGATACGTGGCGTGGAGACCAAAGCGTGCTGTCTAATGCTCCCTATAACGTCTTAACGCTTCAAGCAGTTTAGCCTATCATTATTCCTTTCTGAGAAGCACGAAGTTGAGATCGTCAACTGGTTGAGGTCGGCATGAGGGCGGCATTACTGAATTGATACACTCGTCCATCAACCCGATCGGTAATTAGTGTCCTCTTCCGGTCTCAGCAATTTGCTCGAACACCTCGGACATGATCTTCTTCCTGCCGACCTTGCACATTGTGTCCCACTCTCCGCCTTCTAAATAGAATTCCTTTCGAAAGGTGGTCTCATCCAAGCTGCCTGCGGTTCTGGAACGTATCTGACGCCGGGCACTGAGTGTCTCTATCGTGCTTGATCGTTAGACTTTTGAATCTGCCAGATACATCACCGTGAGCCGAAATCCGAACGAAGGAGAACGCACCGCTAAGGTAACTGTTGTTACTTCGGCAGTATGGACAGACCTGCTGGACGATTGATTCGCAGACCAGCCATATGCGTCTCCTCAACGAGCACGAAATATCCCTCGACACCGAGCATATCGAGACGGTTCAGGACTGAGCGCATACTTATATTTCGTGGCTGAATGTTGGCTCAGCATGGCAGCTGCTAAAGGCCCATCTCCAGCTGCCTAACTGACACTTACGGTATCTCCTCCAATTTGGAACCTCAAGGATTCCAGAAGGGATGCAGAGTTGTGGGCCGAAGTATGAAAAGCTAAGATGCTTTTCTACGACGCCGTCACATTGTTCGAGTCATCCGAGTCTTCCTACTCCTCTGAGCCCCTCGAACCTTTTGAGTCCCTAGCAATGCCGTCGACCCTTCGCCATGCTTTTGACCTGCCCAAGCTCACCGGGCCTACGTCGCCGCTGCCGGGATGACTCCCTCGCCATCTCTCATCAGGGCTCCCACTGAAATTTTCGCCGCCACTATCCCCATGATAGTTCCCTCGGCGTTTGTCACTATCACAAACATCTACACTCCCTAGGGTTATTTACCGCCTGATCGGACTTTTGCTTTTGAACGCGACCTGACATAGTGTCAGCATCATGAAAATAAGGAAGCAAGATTGACGACTCCCCAACCTGGGAGACACCACCTACTTATGCAGGTCTGAGGGACTAGACCTTTGGAGAGGGGACCTGATGTTACGACCCGTTAGGCATAACCAACGAAGAACGCCCCACCAAGATACTAGGCGGTTATGACAGCACTTTTGTATGCAGGATCACGGGAACAAATGGACACCCTCGGAACGGAAGAACTATGTACAGGTCACGTGACAACGGAAACGTGAGCATTGATAAGATAAGACGTGAGCTGCTCACGATGTGGATCGTGAGCGCTCACCTCAAGCGGCCCCCAAGTGATCACCCAACAAGGGGTCAAGACAAGAGACAGTTAGGAACGGGACTTGTATATAGGATGAGCTCGAGTCCGCTCGAGTTCAGACTTCCATAGCTCTTCAGCAATCAACTTGTGATTCTCACTTGAGACTTTCAGCTATACCTAAGTGACGATTACTCTACGACCTTGTTGAGGACTTGACTGATCACCAAGCCCTTTGAAGACTACGATTACTCGACCCAGCCTACGAATGACTGTTACTGTTGTCATTGCCTAACTTACTGTTAACGCAAACCCCACTGTCAGTTAGCTGGCCGTAACAGCGGGATAACTGTCCGCAAGGGTATTAGTGCATTACGCGTGAGCAACTGTTGTGTGGTATCTATATAGAGGGGCTGCTTAACCCCTATGTTCTATTCTAGAATAATCAAGGCCTGTTGTATTATCCCTGCTTCTATCGGAAGATCCTTGTGTCGTTACACCCTTTCTGTTCCCGTGATCCTGCATACAAAAGTGTTGTCATAACCGCCCGGCTCCCTGTGGGCCCTGATCCTGTTGGTTATGCCTAACGGGTCGTAACACGTTAGTTAGCAGTCAATGGGGTACAAAAGCCAGAGGTCGTGCGCTGGTTGCCTGCAAATCTACTGGCTGACGAAGCTCGTCCGGGACTTATATCCATAAGAGCCGCTAGGGGCCCGGAAGGCACCGACGCCAGCAAAGCTGAGATTTTTCCAGAAGAAGTCAGCAATAATATTACTGCCGCTAGTGGTGGTGGCGTGCTCCTTCTCGGAAGCTTGAGGGAGTCGGAGCGTTGCTCCTCGTCGGCGTAGATCCCAAGGGCACTCTTCAATTCTAGTGCGCGCCCTGTATAATGTCCCAGGATTAATGGCTGCCCCTGCATACAGATCCTAGGATTTCATAGCCACCCCATAAAAAGGTCATAGGATTCTAGTGCATAGCCTGCGTATTGATCCTGGGATTAGTGAATGCCCTATATACGACCTAGGTCTAATAGCTGTTCCTGGACACAGGTCCTGGGATGCTCTATGTAACTATGAGAAGGTCCTAGGATCTCAGGCGCTATAATAATAGCTGTAACCAGATCCTAGGAATAGGCAATAGCTAGTCTTCTCATCCCAGGAATAGACTGCTTGGCTTGAAATCTGTATCCTGGGAATAGACAGCTAGGGGGTCTTTCCCCATCCCAGGAATCTGGGAATGGCTATTCTAAAATCTGGATCCTGGGAACAGGAATCCGGGAAACCAGCCAAGTGGTCCTGTAACGGGTTGGGCCCTTGGGAGCCGACAGCCTCTCGGCTAATCAGCCACCTTTAGTGGACCCATACAACTAAGGACTTCATTCTTTGTGCATGAGGCCCGGTCATCGATTTTCCCCTTCTAATCTTCATCTTAAAGATACTTATAGTAGTCGCTATAGCTAGTTGTAATATACTTGTCTGGACCGTAAGTAGGCTCCAGCGCTTGCACCCACACTACTTGGCCGCTCTACCCCTGTGTTGCGAGCAGGTCAGGGCAACCAACTGGTCACGGGCTAGAGCCCTGGTCGAGATCTCCGGCTCCGCCGGAGCAATATACTGCCGCCTGACACCGCTCCAAACGCACCCCTTAGCCTTGCGTCCTTCACTATAAATCATTCCCTCTTCCTCAGCTTAGAATAGTCAATCGACAACACCTCTACGTTGAACGAGCCTAGAGCTAGCCCCTTACACAACTACGTTATAAGTAAAAGCTTTAGTAATAACGACTTCGTTGACTTCGTCGACTTCACTCCCTGTTCTGCACCAAATAGCTACGCTACCACAGTGAGCAATTGTGGCGGGCGTAACACCCTGCTCACCCCTTGCTCACCCCAAAAACCATGCTAGGCCTTATACCACAACTTAAAAGCAGCAACTCTGAGGTGAGCAACTGAGGGAGGCAATTGCACCTGAGCGAAAGAGTGAGGTGCCACGTTGCAGCTTCCACGCGGGTTGAGTTCATATGATGTCCATGGCAACGTGTCTTTATCAACGTAACGCCCGCTACTAGCCTTTTTAATGCCAACTGAAGTTATCGGCTAGCACAAATCCCAACATTGGAAGCAATATTAGTGAAGAGGTATACGTTGCTAGTCATTCCAGCCGACCCCTTTAGCGGACCTACAGGGGTTTCATTCATCCCTCCGGATAAACTACAACGAATGCAAAAGTACTCTGCATCTTCAAGATCTCCGTTTTGGAACTTTTGTTTAAACTCCGCCATATCAACCGGGCACCGAGTTCCACACCAATTGCCGGAAGATGCTTGTCGTCTCTGTCTGAACTTAAAACTAGTCCAGACTCCGTTCGGCTCTGGGAGCAAGCATCGCGACAAGGCGACGTATTCGATAGACGCCGCGATCAAGCATTTGTGACTCAAGGCCTGATAAATACCACTTGGCATTATAGTCCAGAGGCATCGGCTGGCACTTCAGCCTTCTACAGATGGCAAAACGATGGTCGTCGACGTGAGACAGCATCTCGCAGTTAATCAGTGATAGCGTCGCCATTTAACATCATGAGAATACAGAAACTGGAGTATCTTTGGGTCCGGGCTTCCTCATGTTACTGGGTGCGTCAAGCTCTGAGCACCAGGTGGTCAGTTGGCATCGCGAGACTGCGTGGCCGACGTGATCAAGCCACTCCATGAGCAGTTCGCCCAACTTCGAATGGATGACCAGTTTAAGATTTCACTGCCCGAAACCATGATAAAATTATCATTGTAGAACTTGTACTGATTGGCAACCCACAGAAGGATCCAGGCTGTGTCTGTGTAAGTCGCCCAGGAAGTTTGCTCCTACGCAGTACATCTTGTGTTACCTCGACATGGATACGTTGTCGACGAATGCCTCAGCTCCAGACCCGTGGGGAAACATGAAGATGCCGATCAGTCGTAAGCTATTTGGCCACAGCCCACACACAGAAAACCTAGCTTGCGACAGGGTCGAGTAGTTCGTCGGCGAAGATGGGATGAGAGTCGAAGAAAGAAAATGCTTAGGGGGGGTTTCTTGTTACACGGCACTCGCTCGCGGTGCGGGTAGGCGGCAGCGGATAGGGGTTACGTTGCAAGATCCCGAACATAACCTGATTCCATGACTAGTATGCCTGCATCCTCGTTTGTTGGGCAAACAGGCAGCCGCTGCGGGTAGACGTCTGCATCCTTCCGAAATGGAAGTGTTGATGCGTTCCTTTCTTGGGTTGTCTCACCGGGGTTTGGGTGTCCTTTCCATCTCGTCTCATCTTTTAACCTTCCCCCTCGCTCTTTTTGAGGCCTTGACAGCCCTCATAATCCTGGAGGTCTGGACTTCTGGGTTTCTTCCTCGTTGCATCCGAGCAACAACATGTGTTCAAGGGCGTCGTCCTCACGGATTCTACTTGTGGTACGGGCATCGTTGGCCAAATGTGCCCAACGAAGGTCCTTCTGCCTTCTATCAGTTTGTTTTGTTCTGTTTCTCGGTCTCGCGTTTGACCTTACTCGCGATACACTACCCCGACATCATGCTCCTTATGAAGCACCGGTCACCAAGCTCGCAGTTCACGGCAACATCGTCGACGGTTTGCCAGAGCCCTCCTACGAACTCAAACCTTTCCCGTACTCTCCGAAACAGACAACGACAAACGATGAAGGCAACAATCCATGGCTCGCCGCGGTTATATCAACCGCCTCCGACGTCGAGCGCAGAATGCTCATAAGATCGACCTGGATGAGGCTCTATAAAGACGTCCCCTTTGATGGTCGATTCGTGGTATCAAACCCAGGACCACAGTGGATGGAAGTGGTTGCCCGCGAGAACAGCACTTTTGGGGACATGATCGTGCTGGACCACATTCCGGAAGACGACATTACTGCGAATACGATAAAGACGCTGGAGTTCTTCAAATGGCTTGTTGCTCATAGTCGCAAGTACGAGTTTGTCTCGAAGATGGATACAGACTTGTGGCTGAACGCCCGAGGGTTTTGGGATCGCTTCCTTTTCCCGAGGTTGCTCCAGAACGATACGGGGATTTTCACTGCCACTGTCGAGCGTACAGTCATCGGTGAGCTGTATTACTCCAAGTATTGGGACCTCACTTTCCCTCACGGAGCGATGTACACGGTCACATGGGATATGGTTCAGCTCTTGTCGTCGCTTCAAGAGAGATTCAACGTGATCACTGGCGAGGACATGGCGGTGGCAACGCTCATGTTGAAGGGACGCGAGAGAGCCAATTTTGTCAACTTCCGAGGGTCGGAGAAGTTCGACTACAACGACGAAGACGCTCGAGATGACGGTTCAGCGTGGGCGAGACAAAAGACGCATCCGAACGCTATCGACCACGCTGTTGTAGGTCCCAACCCCATTGCTGTCCATCAGCTCAAAGACGAGATGTTCTGGTTTAAGGTAGCAGACTGCTTCGATGAGGATGGGGTGAAGGATATGCCATCACGTTCAAGTTATGCTTCTCAGACACCGATGTCGATGAGATGGCACGATGTGTGGTATTCGCTGGGAGTTTCGAGTCGGTACGAGTCTAGGTTTGATAGGATACCAGACTTTCTGTGGACGGTAGAAAACGGCGATTGGATATGCGATGGTATTTGGAATCTGGGAAATAGAAAAACAGGATACGCATAGATGTTCAGGATTTTGTTCTTATCAGCGGCTTATTGATACCAAGAAGATAGTAAAAGCATGTTTGGATGACCTCTGATGACAAAAGGAACGATCTGAGGAGCCGTCAGCAACTCGTGTATTTGCAATGAAGGTCGGTTCATTGCAAAGGTGCGTGGTTTGAAATGATTCGATAATTTCAATTATGTGATTCAACGTTATCAACATAGGTGCGAATTCGTGGCTGACGTAAAATTGCGTTGCAGTCCATAACGTTGGTGCTGACAGAGTCTAACCCATGTTGCGGATTTCTTGCGGGCTGATGGCGGCGATCAGGGAGTTAGTCGGACTCGAAAGTGAGACCATCCGGCCAGACCAAAGTCCGAGAATGGATAGACTCTAGGCCGGATCGTCTTTCAAGCTCTTCTTTGTCCCGATCTCCGCCGGCCAGAAATCCTTCCTGCGGAAGAACAAGCATTTTGGTCCTTCGATTGTACAGCTCGCCAAGGCAGGTCCCGTCACATCCATAAGTTATAACTAGTTGAGGCACCCAACATAAATACTCAAAGGCAACGTCAAGATCAAATTATAGACGGACAAACAGAACTCCAAACCAAAACTCTTCATCACTTTACCTTAAAAATGGCTCCAACCGTCGTTCTCATCACAGGTGCAAACCGCGGCCTGGGCCTGGGCCTCCTCCAACGCTACCTCGCCCTGCCGAACCACACCGTCATCGCCGGAAACCGCGACCCGACACACAAGACCTCGAAAGCCCTCTCTGACCTGCCCAAAGCCGAGGGAAGCCGTCTCATCGTCGTCAAGATCGACGCCGCGATAGAACAAGACGCCCACGACGCGGTCAAGGAGCTGCAGGCCTCCCACGGCGTCGACCACTTGGACATCGTCATCGCCAACGCCGGCGTATCCTACGTCTGGCCCACCGCCGCCGACCTCAAGATCTCGGATCTGAAGGGCCACATCGAGCCCAATGTTTACGGCGTCATCTCACTCTTCCAGGCCACGCGACCTCTGCTGAAGAAGTCGGCGCGAGAACCCATCTTCACGCCCATGGGGTCTACGGCGGGCTGTGTGGAGTAAGTCTAAGCGACCCGGTTTGCGACAGAACATCGCATGGCTAACACGCAACAGGAACCAGCCGCCCATTACCAACAGCGCCTATGGGCCGTCGAAGGCGGCGGTCAACTGGTTCGGTGTCAGAATCAACGCCGAGGAGGATTGGCTCCACGCGTTCGTCCTGTGCCCCGGCTGGGTTCAGACGGATTTGGGAAATACGGGCGCGCAGTATTTTGGATTGGAAAAGGCATCTGTCACTGTCGATGAGTCTTGCGATGGCATGATGAAACTCCTTGCGACGACCACGAAGGAGAAGCATGGAGGGAAGATGGTGTCATACGAGGGTAACATTGAGGGTTACTAAGAAAGACGAGATGAATTCATTAGGTGCTTGATAATTAGTTATCATACATCATACAGAGCAATGCTATTTTCCTTTTACCAATTCTTCTAGACACCGAGCTGCGCTCGCCGTATGGCAGGGATAGCATCAGCGTCATAGATTTCCACGGCCTGGTCGAAACGATCGCCCCAACAGCTGGCTTCCGATGAACGAGCAAGAAACTCGATCGACTGTCCGTGAAGGTGGGATAGATCAGCCCGGGTGCCGCATCGGACTTCGATCTGAAATCCCGACGGAGAGATTGCGGGACCGCAGCGGAAGACCTGCGGAAGACATGCGGAACATGGCGGGGCCCGCTCCCGGCAACGAACCCGACCCGGTCGATCATTCCAACATTCCAGAACAAGGATCAAGAGTCATTTTTTCCCGCACTCTTCCGCAAGTCTCCAATTGGCCAAACCCCAGCCCTAGCAACTTTGCAATTTCAAAACCCCCAAAATCCCCACGCGTAAAAATTTTCCCTCCACGCCGGCCGGCCCCGTTCCACCACCACGCTCCGGTTACAAGCCACCCATCCACCTCGGCCTTCAACAATCAATGGTTTCGTGGTGTAGTTGGTTATCACGTCAGTCTAACACACTGAAGGTCTCCGGTTCAAGTCCGGGCGAAATCAGCTACTGGGCGAATGGTTTAGTGGTATAATACTCGCTTAGCATGTGGGAGTCTAACGAACCCCGAATCTTGTGAGTGGTCCAGGGTTCGATTCCCTGTTCGTCCATCTTTTGCCTGTAGGAGCGACTGCGTCTGTCTTTTTGATGTGTGTATGATCTTTGAGTCTCGGGGGTTCTCCTGGGAGTCCCTGAAGCCTCGCTGGTCAATCTTCTTGTTTACCTTATTAGTTGTAAAGGAATAGATATCCTGATAACATTATAGATGCTGTTCTTAGTAAGCTGGAGGTTAAGTCTGGTTCTTAGAAAGAGGATTCAGTGAAGCAGGACTGACGAGGAGTATGGTTGATGAGGAAGGAGGCTTGATCTTGTGTTGAATGGAGCATAAGACCGCCAAGTACGTGACCTCTAGGAGATGTAGAGGAAGTGATAGATATGTTGCCTGTAAGAGTCTTCAAATGTGTGGGTTCCATCCGTTGTAGACCCAACTTAGAGTAACCGACATGTGATAAGCCCAAAGCACCGAGACAAAAGAAGAGAGCGGGACTCCACAACCAACACGATGTTGGAGTAAATACTCTTAACGAGGAATCGCAAGGATAGACTGGAAGATTTCAGGTGCTGCTGATAGTTAGAGACATGGTCCTGCCACAAGTCAAGAATAGCCATGGTTCTTTGTTTGTGAAGTTGTCTCTTGACTCAAGCCGCAAGGTTTCTACGTCCTGAGAGGTTGACGATCTTGGTGGTTAAAGACATCACCGCAAGCCATCTATGGGCAGAGTTGACGTGCGGACACTCTATAGTCACTATTCCTTTTACTGCTTATTAGTACGGTTTAGAAGTGCTATTCTATGACGCAGATATAAGAGCCGCAGGCCACGCAATAAGCCAAACGGGTGGAGTTATCGCCTGTCGTTCCGTCCTGACAAAGACTCAACTGCTGGACTTGGGGTCTTTTCAGTCGCCTCACACAAGAGCTCATTTATTTACAAGGCGAAGATGAGAGAATCCCAAAAGGCTATCGGTTCACTATCATACACGAGCTCGACGGAAAGACTGCTTCCATGGCTTGTTAGTATGTGATTTGGGTTATAGAATACTTCAAAAAAAAAACCCAAAGTTTGAAAAGATATGCTGATTGTAGATCATGGGTCATTTCAATTCGGAACTAGCCAAAACTCTCGCCGTTTTGCTCCCTTCGTACCATGCAGGCTCGAGGGTTGCCTGACCGGAACGACTACCATATCATCAACAACATCGGCCCTCGACGATTGTCGTCAACTCCAGCCGAAGACTTGGGTCGCTGTGAGCATGAGCATTAGAGCATGACACATGGGCGACCATCTAATCAAATGGAAGTCAAGACGTAATCAACGTCGCTAAGGCCGGCTTGCCCGGGGGTGATATCACACAAGGAGGCCCTCCAACGCACGGCAAAGCTGATCACGAAGTGGCTGCTTGACGTGTGATTCCGGTGTGCGCTTGCAATTGAGCCCCGGCATCTTCACGGAGTCACTCACTCTCATCCCGTTGAACGTCTCCAGCAAACATCGCACTCTATCGTCTCTACCTTACTCTGACTCATCTTGAGCCATCAACAGCTGAGGAGACCGGTTCCAAGACAGCAACCCATACCCGCGTTATCTCCCACCAAGGCAGCATCGTAATGGCGTATATCCAAACATGGGAGGCCTCCCGTTCCTCTACGCGACCAATAGCGTAAGGCTCGATGTTTAATCTCTCTTAGAATCACATGCCTCAGGCTTGCTCCAGATGCGTGTTCACAACGGCACAACCGAGATCGCGAATCGTTCACGCTCCCATGTGACGGATCTCCAACGCGCCCCACGAGAGAACTACTGGTCGAACCAAGCTTCACGGCCACCCAGTGCTTGCGCACTGTCACCTCTTCGCCCTGCTGCCGGGTATTCTACTGGTGAATCGTGAAAGGGACGAGCACCCCCCCGTGACGTACTCTCGTCAATCAGCCTCAGGCGCAGATGTGCGGTTTACACTTTCACGATATGCCGCGCATTCGCGCACCATTGTCAACAAGAACCCTCAGTAACATGTTGACTGACAACGTCATAGAGAGGGACCTTTGTAGACAAGGCAACTCGCGGCGAGCCACACGTGGTCCCCATTACCAGATACCCTACCCGATACCAAAGTGCCCGAAACACCAAAGCCCCGGAGCACGCAAGACGTGTAAGACTCATAGAGAAGGCACGGAGGCTGTGCAGATATCCAACCCGTTACGAAATACCATTCCAAGCAAGGCGACGTTGTCTCGGGAAGAAACAAGATAAGCCTCCATCTCAACAGTCACACCCAACATCTACGCCCCGTCTCATTCGACAGAAAAGCAACACTGCTGCCTACGCGACCTCCAAAACGAAGCGAGCAGAAGAACGATTCGCTACCGTCAACCCTCCAATGCCCGAGGCGCCGGGACGAGAGTCGTCATCGAGGCGGCCGGTGCCTGGCCCCCAAGCCGGTTACGGCTACAACTCAATTGCAAAGGTGGCGATATATCGATTTCCACGCCCGAATCACAGTTACACCAATTCCCCCCAACCACCCGATATACCGCAGCGAGTGAAAATGCACGGCCGTCTCTACCAGTGCGTTGAGGATCTCGGTTCTAGAACTTTGGCAGGGCGCGGGCAACGATCGCTCAATATGAGTCACCGACCCAGACCAGCGAATCAAGCGTGAATGAAAGCAGGAAAGTGACTCCCGTGCTGCGACTCGGGACAGAGAGGGAGAGGGAGAGGGCGTGCGCCAAGCAACTAATCACGGGTATTCAAGAGGAGAAAACAGCACCAGGACGATCGGGGGGAAATCGAACGGGAAGGAAATGACAGGAACTCGAGTGAGTGTGTGTGTTGTGTAAGTTGGATGTAATTGTCAGCAGACGGGAAATCTGGACCCCAAAAAAACAGATCGGACGACACCCATCGAAAAAATTCAATCGGGGTGAGTTGGCAGGGTGCGCGATAACGCACCTTTGACGCATCCTTAAATTTTTCTTTTGCTTCTTCTTCTTGCTGCCCAAGGCCTTACAACCACGAGGTCGCCCTCGTGTGGTGTGGTGTGTGAGTGTGAGTGAGTGCAGCGAAAAAAAAGAGGGTGAGGTGAGCCCAGATGGCAGGGCGCGGCGCGGCGCATCGCAGCCCAAAGGTCGACGACGACGACCAAACCCAACGCTGCTGCAAGCGCCCTGCACCCGTTGCGTCATACGCAGCGACGACCGCGCAAAGAAGAGCCCACGTTAGGTGCACAGTATGGCAGCGCGCAGGATTGAGGAAAATGAAATGAATGGTACATTTGGAGGGAAGTAACTGAGAGGGGTGTGTGAACAAGCCCGATCTCTCAGTCTACTTTCGCGGTAAGTACTGCTCCTCGCAGACATGGCATAGCCCCTCGGGAGGTGGAATTGCACACACATCAACGACGATATTCGCCCAACGTATTTGTCACCCAGGAAATGATCGAAGACTACCGAAGGCGAAAGAGTCATTTCACCTTCATCAATCCCGAAAGGGTGGTGAAGTCCGGAAAGACTTTTGGTTCTAGCCGGGATTTTCTTCAAGGATTGGCGCGCGGGATGGGGGACGCCGCCCGAAGCCCCGGGACCGAGGGCGGGCGATCCGGAGGTGGCGAATCCACCCTTCCTGTAATTTTTCCCATCCGGACCGCCCGTGAGAAAGTGATTGGTGAGGAGCCCTGAATGTTGAACATTCAAAGGTCTCGTCCCACGTGATGAATGATCGTCTGCGCCACCCCGAACTTGGAGGGTCGCAACCCGTTGCACGGGTGTGGCGTTCTTGGGGGTTACGAGGACGGACGGACGACGTTCGTTTTCGAGGCTGCGCGTCTGGTTGGGGAATTTGGCGATATCGCGCCGTCTAAGTCCACCGCCGACGGAGGCAGCCCAACATCCGCGCAACGGGGACAGGGTGAGTTGACTCACGTGTTACGCGGCGAAGGCGAAGGCGAAGGACTGTGGTCGAGGACGTCCAGTGTCCGTACTCTGTCCGGCGAGCGCACGCCGTCTGGTGAGGACTGAGAGTTCGCCGACCGGAGATGGACAGTCCTCCGACGGTTCTCCTCGCGACCTAGCCACCGACGGCCGCGTAAACCCATCTCCTCAGTTCGAAGGCGACATATCGGCGCAGACATCGAAAGCAACAGACCTATCATCCCAATCTCATATGCAACGACCGCCATTGGCTCGCACTCACCCAGAAGATCGGACCAGTGAACGCACTCGCATCCCGCAATCCCCCCTCGTCCCCAAACCCTTCTTTCCATCTTCGCTACACCATTCGTGAATTGGAGAAAAATGCA